AGAATGCCCGCTAATAGCAAATGATTTTTTAATTACTGGCACGCGGATAATTAGTAACGTTTGAATATTAAGATATTCGAAAGAGATACTATAAATTAATTCTCATTAACTGTATCAGCGATCATCGCGATGTTACGATTATTTGGTAAAATAATAGATTTTGTAGAACAACGAGGATGGGTCCTTACGACGATTTGAAAGCATGTACAAAAGAATATTAATGTAGAAACTGGTTTCGTGGACCAACTCTTATTATATCTTTCGACACGTGTTTTTGTTGAATGGAAGAGGAATGTAATAACACGGTGCTAAATTGTGGATTTTTTCCACGTTTGATATTAGATAGAACGAAAATATTCTTAATTTATCAGCGATTATTAAAATTGCAGATGTTTATGCAATTTTTTTTCTGAATATTAGGCCGTTGCATAATTATATATTACGCTGATTGGGTAAAATGATGACTTTTTTACAATTCTTCATGTTCTTATGTTAACTTTTCTATTTATATAATTTATTAGAATATAATGAATACTCCAGAAATTCTGTATGTTTTTCCGCGTAACGTACACACTTTTGCATATTCAATTTTCTCGTAAATGCATAAACGTGTTTGTGCACTGATTGCACAATCTGGAGTCATGCAAATCTCCGAGAGAGAAGTCACACAGTTTTGAGAATATCGGTCGATGCTCGTGGATCTGGCAAATTTGCATCAAAGTGTTTTCAATTCAGAATCTCTGAGGAAGAGGTGAAAGGAGGTGGAAGAGGGAAACAAACTAACATTTCCTTTGCTTTCAAAGATCGTTTACAGAAGACACGGCCAGGCTCACCTAGCATAATTATCTCAAAGTACAATTTACCCTTTGACGTTCGTCGTTTCAGTACGTGTGACTTTTCGTGATTTACGATCATCCTGTGTTTCGTCCGTTTATTCACAATTCCCTGAACGAACTGGTTATTATGGCAACGCCAGGGCAATTAACGCAAGGTTAGACTCGCTCGAGAGACATCTTTTCGTCCATTTGCTCGAAGATTTCGGGCCTTCACAATGGCACCCGTTCGAAACTCGTTGCGTTGGACACACGGGACAGGCTTTCGACTTCTATCTCAATACGTCTAGCTTTACAGACGAATTCTTTCGCTATGATGGAGCTACTCCAATAATTTAAACTACACTAAATTCTAAATTCAGGCTATTCGTGTATCATACGATAATATGATTTGATTGACGTCAGTGGAGTCAGTGGAGTTCCTACTGAATCGAAATTTCAGGAGCTATTACATAAGCACAAGAGGGACCTTTCTTCGAAGGAGAAAATCGCGCTCGTCGCTGGACATTTCTCTAGCGGTAATTTGGGAAATGCGTGACGGTAATTCTAGCCCCCTGGCCGCGCTGTGGAAACCAGAAACGACGCACAGGAAACTGCAGGAGAGGAGCTTTGGTTTTCGTATATATCGTTTGGAAGGCCCTCTCGAATGAGCTTCGGCCTTCGTTCGTGAGAGGCCGGACGTGCACAGTGAAAAGACGAACAGAGAGGGAATGCATAAGAGAACGGACCGTGGAAACGTAGAAAGAAACGCACACGTACAGCGGCGTGTCGGCGAGACAGAGAGCGAGTAAGAAGGGGGCCGCGGAGGAAGAGAGCGAAACGACGAAGGAAAGGGCCCCCCGCGCCTCACAATGCAGCCTGATTTATGGCCCGGGCGCACATACATAGAGTTACACACGATATCATAATACCATTAATTCTTCGTCAAATTCCCCGCTGACTGAATCATACTGGCCACGCAGTAAATCACGCGGGGCGACTAATGTGAACGCGACTAGCGCTCGCTGTCTTATCTCCTTTGAACCATGGGGGCAGGTGGATCCAGTCGCCTGGACTCCGCTGAATTACTCTTGTCCTGGCCTCGGACCGGCCTCCCCCTCGCCCCTCCTTCTTCCACGTACTCTTTCCTCTCTCGCCATTCTCTACCACGAGGTCTAACCTCCGTGGCGCGTTCCTCGCCCCTGCGCGGAACCAACGCACTCTATTTGTCTCCTCTCGTTTCCGTATTTTTATAGCCGACACCCGGTTATCCGCAGAAGAATCAGCGAGCCGATTTCACGAGGGACTACCAACACGGTAGCGGCAACCACTTGTGTTCGGGACACAGTTGATGTACGTAATCACGATTTCACACACAGATCTCCTGGTTCACGATGCGATAATATAGCATACTCTACGAGAGAACTCGTGGGCAATCGTCATTGGGGCGGCCTCTTCGATAGGCAGATACTTTCGTGTCTTATCTTTTTATTTCCTGGTCACTGATACTCGTTTGTTTGAAAGGGATGGTGGAAGATAATGAGTCGAGGGAGTTTGTGGGATCATCAATTTTGATGGTCTTTTGGAAGGAATAACAGCCTTTAGGAAGAAAAGTTTACGATTGAAATTTTCTCAAATAGCGAGGTTCAAATTTGAAGTACATCTACTTTTATCGGAAAAAAAAAAAAATATGGTTGAAATTTCGTAATTCTTCTCTGAGGAATATGAACCCTCTCTGAGACGATTGACTTATTCTGTCTGTCGTTTACAATTCTTATTACAAATTTTTTATTTCAGTTGTTTGTGTTCCAGCTACCATCTATGTATATTTTATTTCAAACGTTAGTCTATCTTCTAATGTACTTTATTTTAAATCATTCGTCTCAAGATTTTAAATAACCAACGGATATTTTATACATTTATGTATTTGTGTACAGCATGTTGATTTTATGTTATTACATTCTAAAATCTTGCGTATTGTTTTTCTTATTGTTTTATAGCTGATGTTGTTTACTTAAAACTTTTAAAATGATTCGTTAGCTAACCAAATTTATATATCACTCGGGATATCCATATTCGTAACAGAAGAATTCAAAATGTACAGTTGAGTTAATTTGATAACTATAATAGATTCTACCTTCGAATTATCTTACTGTATTGTATAGTCTACTGTTCAGTAGAAAAAACTTCTCAAAAGAAAATGGTTCTTTGGTTAGTTTTTGTTCTCTCAATCGGCATATTGTCGTGCTAATTCCATAAGTTGGAACACGATTAACACGACTGCAAATACGTAAGACCAACGTTATCAGAAGAGTCCACCAAAGCTTGCTTCAATTTTTTTTTTCTATCAATAAAAAATTCCTATATTTATTTACAGCCAGATTCTTTTGTCAACGTTTAACAAGTTTATTATCCGCTCGTGTCAGTAAGCGTAATTCCCGTATCATCCGCATCCATCATCTGTCCACCTTGACTCCTTCGTGAACTTTTGTAAAATATATATTTCAATATATTCTACTTTACTTCTGACTGAATGGTCACGTAATTTCCACCTTCTTTCGAAGAACCGGAGCTTGTACTATCGATTATTTTCCTCTATTCTTGCGCGCCGCTTGTCCTTACACGTCGGCCATTCCGCGATAACGGGAAACATTTACAAACTACACTCGTCCCCGACGAGTAAATTGCTCCAAATTGCCCTCCGATAAATTTTTTTCACCTCGCACCAGCCCCCATTAGCCGTCCCATAAAGCGACACGCACTTAATCGCACTTATTCGAGTGAACTAATCAATTTATGCCACGAACAACAGAAATATTCGTGACGGTCAAAGAAAATTTATTTATTTATCCTTTTTTTTTTTACTGGTAACGAGCGACATAAACGTCGAATGGTGCATGTTGCTTTTAATGAGAACCTTAACATTAAGAATCTTATTATTAGATTCTAAGCTTATTATTAGATTAGATAATAGCAATGCCGAGTGTGGCCGAATGATATGTCAAGCGGGCAAGAGGTGACTTGCTATGATAAAATAAGAAGAAGATATAGAATAAAATTCTTCTGTCCGACGCTTAGTTTTCGAGAGAATTGAGCTTGAAAATTTACTATGTATTTAATATTGTCGTGGCTAAGAAGATATAAAATAACATTTTTTTTTTTTCAAAAGATACGATTCTCTATGCCATACGTAAAATTTATAAACAATACTCTGTGACTTCTTCTATTGTATTATTCAAAGTAAGTAACTGGTGTCTCGATTTATCGAACGATTAACGATTAACGATCTTCCACAAACAATGAAGAATCGTTATTTGGGGCATTGTCTGGCTCCACGAAGCATTTAATATCGACAGAATAACCAAACTGTACTCCGATTTACCAAACGATTATTAAAGAAAATCTTCCAAAAACAATCAAGATATACTCGAAACGGCGGAGCAAACGTTTTTCTTATTAACCACTGGGTTCTGGCACAACGCGGTGCGTGATATACGGGCAAGAACCGCTATCAGCGATGAATATCGAAATTTATAATCGCTTCGCCGATATATTTTAGCAGTGATTTAACACGCGGTTTAAGGTGGCGGCCTCCACGAAATAATCATACGGCCGCAACCGAGATCCGCATTCCTCATTATGACACACTAGCACAAATTTCCGTAGCGCTGATCTACAAATCACCGGCTGCTTACTTTTACCAAACCGCGACGTTTCTTTCGCAGATATTCGCGATGACTTACCGCCGTTCAAGAGTCCCAAGCCGGCGTGCAATTTACGGCCTAACAGAATCTCCGTTTTTGCGCGGTAAATGCCTCTCCGTCCTTTTTTTTTTGCCCGCTGTGAGTGTGCATCCGGTGCACGCGCAATTCGTTTCAGAAAACACAAAAGCTGCCGGACTTCCCGAAATTCGAACCTTTTCTCGGCCGATCACGGTCGAGAAACACGTGGTGCACGCGGTTGGGGGTGAAAATTGGAGAACAGAGAAACGCGAGGCATATTGTATAGATCAAAAGAAGTTATTGTATCTTTTACGATACCGACCATGTTATTTCAAATACACTTTCTTCGAATAGGAGTTTGGTCACGTCGACAAAGAAATGAGAATCTAAGGAGATTAATTTATGGGAATGGATCAATAACAGGTCTACCAAGAACCGTGGTTTTTAATATTATCCCTCGCGAAATTCAAATTATCCTTGTTTCGCAATAATTTCGAACGCGAATATCTCTTCGAATCGGACGATCTGTTGCGTTTGGGATCAACTCGCACAGCAATTTGGCTGAAGCTCGTCTACCGTCCAATCGTAACCCGCAAATTAACGTGTTCGATCGTGGCGATCGGCCTAAGAAAAAGAAGAAACGGAGTTCGAAAGGAGAGATTCGGGGGGACTTACTCTGGCCGATGTGCACCCTCTTCATCCACGAATAGATCTTGGGTGGCTCGTTACCGCTGGGATTCGTTTTGTTCGACGTGTTGTTGCCGGTGCTGGAGGTGCTGGAAGTGGAGGATGCTGGCGACGAGGCGGACGACGCGGTGGTCAACGTGGAACTACCTTCTGCCACGGGTCTGGAACTTCCGCTGGCAGGTGAGGCGGCCGAGGCGGCGACCGACGACCTCGACGAACTTCCTGGCGGCGAGGTGAGACTTGATGCAGCCTTGCTGGTGCCAGGTGCCACCAGAGGGGTTGGACTGTTTCTCGAGGTGGACGTGGTCAAATCTTGGGGCGACGCGACGCTTGTGGAGGACGTCGAGTCGGCGTACTTGCAGCTAGACGTGGACGGTGCCGATGGCGCGGATGCGGCCTGAAGAAGCGGCGTCGTCGGATCTTGATGCAACTGCTGCTGCTGAGGATGATGTTGCGGATGATGCTGCGACTGTTGGTGCAAACTGTGTTGCTGCGAGGTTGTCGTCGCGCTTAGTCGAGGCTGCGGCTGCAACTGCGTATAGTCTATCATGCCGGTGGGCGCTGTGTGTTGCATTCCAGAGGCTGGAGTGGCGTAGGCATGCTGAGGATAGTGTTGTTGGGGAGAGTAACACGGTGTTGGATAGCTGGTCGCTGCTGCGTTCGGGTTGTAGTAGTCTCCACCTGCGGGCGATGCCGCCTGCATCGGTTCTCCAGGTGAATTGGCCGTGGCTCGTGGTTGCTGTTGCGTTTGCTGGCCCGCGTAGCACGACGCCAGCGAATTAACAAACTGATAGGAACTCATGGTTCACGCGAGTAGTGCACCCGTCGTCACACTGTTACCCCGATCGTTCCACACGTGTGTACGGTTCGGTATTTCCACGAGAAACAACACCACCGATCTGATCCTTGGTCTTCGAGTGGCGGCAAAATACGCGCACTGTCGTTAAATACGAGCACCTGTCATCTCTGGTCGTTGATTTCACGACAACGTCGACGACAAAAACGAGAACGACGACGACGACGATGACGACCACGACCACGACCACGACAACGGCGGCGGCGGCGGCGGCG